AATATTTTTAGTAAAAAGTTGCAACTTTCCTTTAATTACTCTTGTAAAATATTAAATTTTGTAGTTTTTTCTTCTTTTGTTAAAAAATTGTAACAACTGAGTAAACTTAGCGACAGTCTCCGCCAATTGTATGTTCATGTACACTAACGTGCTCCTGTTATTTTTTTCGTTTTATTTATTTTTTTTTTTCTTTCGGCCTTCTGTGAGTTTCTCTCGTTGTGCCAAAATAAACCGTAATTTTGTCAACGGCAACTGCAATGGCAGCGCCAAACGGTAAAGTTGTCGCAGCAAAAAAAATAACAAACTAAATGAAAAAAAATAGGCTAAAAAAATAACGTACAAACGCTTTAGCCAGGCCTTGCAGGTGGGCGTTAGTTGAGCATTTCGTGCAAGGGGCGTAACCATAAAAAAATAAAATCAGGAGAATAAAAAAAGAGTTCAACGAAACTAAAGAAAATATATGCGCATAGTTGAGAATTTAACCATTTTTTTGTGGCACTTTGTATGTGGCTCTGTGAGTTGCGAATTGCATGCAAAGGCGGCTAAAAGGAGCAGAAGGAAGGAGTTGTTGGAAAAAATGCAAATTTAGTTTTGGATAAGTTATGCAGAATTTAAAGAGATGTAACTGCAGAAAATATATTCATATTTAGAGGAGGAATTTAGCAAAAGTTAAAAGAAGTAAAAAGCTTATTAATATTTATGTTTAAAAATGTATAAAGAACCTAAAGAAAAACATTAAGGCTTATATTTTATATTATATAAAAAATATGTACATTTTTCCGAAAAATCCTTTTCTAAATCAGAATTTCTTCGCTGTATTATAACTATATATTTTTAAATTATTCTAAACTCTATGTTATTAAACTGAAATATTAATAGTACCCTAATTTACTATCTAAAAATAAGGTATACAACTTTAAACAACCAAAAGATACTTTCTTTTACCAACAAGAAGTGAAATTTGCAATCAAACAAAAGGTTAGGTGTCTTTAAAATTACCACAACAACAAAATAAATAAATAAACCAAAAATAAAAGCAAACAGCCAAAAAAGATTGGTAAATATTTTTTGCTAAAAACCATTAAAAAAAAGCTAAAATTGCAAATTCGAAAGAGAGACCTCCAAAGTTTAAAGTTTGAACTCTCTTGCATCTTTGGGGTTAATTTTTTGCTTTTTTCGACGGATCGTTTTTGCCGCTCAACTTCTGTATTTTTTCGTGTCAATGACTTTTTTGCCGGGGCTCAAAGTGGAAGTTTCTTTTTCTTTAGGTTGTTGTTTTTTTGTTATTTTTGTTTTGATTTTATTTTGTTGCTTTGCTGGGCGGGTGGCCGTCGCCGCTCTCTTTTTCCGTCTGCGTGCACTTAAAAATTTGCTTTTTTTGTTGTTTGTTTTTGATATGTTTGTGGTAAATTTGTGGTATATTTCTTTTATGATTTCTCCCCATTTTGGCAAGGCCTTTTTGAACCTCTTTTACCTTTTTGATTAGCTTTTCCTGAGCCTCATTTGCATTTTGTCGCCGTGGGTTCTGTGCCTGTTTATTTGTTTCTCGGCTTCTTTTGTTTATTTGCTGGCTTCAGCAGTTTGTTTGTAAACTGTTATTGTTATAGGGGGAGGGGCGGAGAGAGGGGTTCCCCCCAAAAGGATGCCGATTGTTGGTTTTCTCAGTTGCCAGCTGGAAAGAGAAAAAATATGTTTAACCTGATTTGTGGGTCAACTAGCGGTGCTGTCGCTTCCCCCACTTGACCAATTTCACTTGATGACGTTTTGGTATAGGAAAAATAGAGAAAAAGTAGACAGATATATAGAATATATATAGAAAATCGGGTAAACAACTTGGTTGTTTTTAAGCAATATTATTTCTGTGTATATTGAACTTCTGCAACATCTGTATCTTAAAGAATGTTGGTCAACAAGTTCCTAGCCAAATATGTCCTTATATGAATATTGCTCAACATGTTACTAGCAACATTTAGTCTTTATATAGCGCAACATATTCCTAGAAACATGTTGTCTTTTTTATGCCTTTAGCAGTGTTCTATTCAAGTTTTTCATAAATTTAAGCTATATTAGGCAAAGTAAATTAGAAAATGCTTTCCTTCTTCGTTATACTAAAAATAAATTTTTAAAACCCCAAAATTTTTCCCACCTTTTTGAATACCTTGCGTTATTGCTTTTGAATCGCTTAAAATTTGTATTTTCATTTCATAAACAGACAACAACAGCTGACTGCAAAGCTGTTCCATTTTCTGTTCAGATTTTTTCTTCTCTTTTTTACCACGATCATAAATTTTCCAATTTGACTTAAATTGGCTATTTTAATGCCGCTTTTTGTTTATACCTCTCAGTGCGTTCTTATGCCATATGCAATCTTTCACAGGCCTCCTCCTCTTTGGATGATTGCGTGAAAATGTTGTTTCTTTTTAAACAATTATTATATATATATTTTTTTTTCGATTTTTTATTCCTCTTGTTTATTTTTAGCATTCCTCTGCCCTTGGAATATTTGACACGATTTCTGTTTTCATTCTGTTTATTTTTTTTTATACAACAACAAGTTGGAAAGGAATTCTTTAGGTTTTGATTTGTTTGCAGCGTTCCCGGGTTCCACACATGGAAAAGTTTTTATGTTTTATTTATTTTTTTACCCTCTTTTTTTTCTTTTTTCTTTTTTTTTTAAGACCCTCTGATCTCTGTCTTTCTCTCTCTTTCTGACCGCCTGTAGCTATCTCTTTGTGTGCTTTGCATTTGTGTGTGTTGCGACGTCGGCGGCTGCTCTCCAATGTCAGCGAGAGATCAATAAACTTTTGGCAAATAACAAGAAATGGAAGCGCGAAGAAAAAGAAAAAAATATATATATGTACATATAAATACGAGAAAAGAAAACAAATTAAAGCGCATGAAGAAAAGATTACAGCGAGCGGAGAAATAGCAGCAAAAGTTGCGACAGATATATAAGGCAAGCTGGGCGGGGAAGTCCCGGGGAAATCGGGGAACCATTGAAGTACAAAAAGAAAATCTCAACGTCTGGCAAACATATCTGTACCGGCTTCACTTTATTTATATAATAACAGACTCAGTATATATATAAAATAATATACAATACATCATAGTCTTTCCACTTTCCTATATTATATTTCCCCGGCTTCTCAGTTTCGCTCTCTCTCTTGTTATTTTTGGCTTTTGCAAAATGAAAAAAATAAGAAGAAAAGTTCGCGTCATCATCATTAAAGTTTCTTCTGTCTGCGACCAAAACACAAATAAATCTGAACCAAAATATATACAAACAAATATATAGCCAAGGAACTTTCAATCTTTAGTCATTTTCCAGAAAACATGAAAGCCAAAAGAGTCAGCCAGATAAAACACGGGGAGAAATAATGAGGAAAATCCTGCTCTAAATCAAAAATAGAAAATGCCAAATGGCAAACTCATCCATCTATTAAACGAATCACGTGATATTATGGTCTTTTGAATCATTTCTTGATACACAATTATTGGCAGGATGCTGAATTTTATATAATTATTTAGATAATCTATAGAAAAATACATAATATAAACAAATAGAGATGTCAAAAGCATCATTAATCAAGCCTATTCAATTGCAGATTTATGTATAGTTTTCTAAATACTTTCACAAATCATTAATCAAACTTTAAAGGAATCGTTTGAAGATGAGAATATGATGAAGAATATGATCCTAAATCGATCACAACTAAGCCAAAAATGCATTAATTTCAATTCGGAAAGTTTTTCTGTGCTAATTTTTAACAGCTTAACAAAACTGCATACTTGGCTTAAAATTTTTAAAATTTCAAATTTTTTGATACATTTTTGACAATTTTAACCTTATAAAATATTTAAAATATTTTGAAAATTTATATCTAGCTAGATCGATTCGGGTGTTGATGCTGATCAAAAATATATATGATTTATAGGGTCGGAAATGACTACTTAACTAAGTTTTAAGCTTCTGACTAAAATTATAATACCATGAAAAAATATAAAAATAAGGCGCTCAATATGATATCGAATATATCTTAAACTTTGATATATCTAATTTTGAAATATACAAATTGTAGTATTGCCTATTATATTATATTGAATCCGATTCATTTAACGTAATATAAATATCGTAATGTTCGATTTAGAAATGTTCTTTCGAGTTAAATATTGGTATAGTACAGCAAATATTTTATTTATTATATAAATACTACAAAATATTATAAAGTTGAAACAAAATGTTATACCTTATGTCGTCTTAAAAATATAATTACCAAAAAAGGAATTAGTTAAATGGAAAATTCTTATTCTATCTCCTTATAATAATTAAAACTTTGAAAATATGATCAAAGTGTATAAAATATTCCTTCTACAGTATTAAAACCCCTAAAAGACAGTGGCAAAAGTTCCCACAAAAATCTTAACCCAAACCTTAATTTACCACGTAAATTACAAAACGTTTTGCTCAATGATTTTTGTTTTTTTTTTTTTTTAAAGTAGTATATCTGTTTCCGACCTTTTGATGGCGGTTTTCCTTCGACAATTGGTATTTTCACTAATTTGTTTTCTTTTCTTTCCTGTGTGTTTTCCTCTGGCTTTTCTCCTCTACCTCCCTCTCTCTGTCTCTCTTGCTTTTTGTTTTCCTAAAAATAATGACAAGCAAATACATATAATTTATTTTTATCTGTCTGTTTTTGCCATTTTCTTGGCAGCGTATTTAACGCTTTTGAACTTTTGCACTTTGTGTGTAAATAGAGACAAAAGGTGTTCCCGTTTCCGTTGAGGTATATATACAAAAACACACACATATACAATATATACAAAACATATATACAATACAATATAGCTCTAATAATGTATTTCTTTCATATGCAAATGCCATTTGCCGTTCTCTTAGAGAATGTCATCAAATGTTTACCATTAATTTTCGTATATTTAATTCTAATTTGTGTGCGTTTCTTGTTTATTTTTTGCAGGTGCGTATCCTTGAAGCGACACTGCCTGCCTCAAGTCCTGGATTATTGAGGCAGCCATTGAGTGACGATGATAGTGATGTAAGTTCCCAAAACTATATATTTTAAATATATAATATATAGTATATCTGTCGGTCGGTCAGTTGGTCATCAAGCTAATCAAGTTGACCTTTCCGACCAGCCATATTTTTAGTGTTTTCTTCTTATTTCTTATGTTTGGTGTTAGGTTTTAGTCAAGCTATGTCTATATAAAATATTACTACGAATTTTGCTGTGGAAACAAACAAATAAACACACGTGGTTTGTAGAAGGCTAGACAACAATTATCGCTGGCACTTGAGAGAAATTAAACTCAAATATTGAAATAGTAAATGAGAATATTAATTTGTGTGTGGGTTTTTCTGGGATTCTTTTTAGTCAATTATTTTTTGTTTGAGTAGAAAATGGTGTCATTGATTGCCGGATATTGTTTACTAATTATTGTCACGAGTTTGAGTCATAATTTTGAGAGCCTTTGAAGTGAAGTTATGATTACTTGGTGGATTTATGAATAATTATTTACATTGTATAGGGAAATATATATATATATAATAATCAAATAAATAAATAAATAAATAAAATAATAATAAATAGCTAAAAATGCAGGCTTTGTTTCTTTAATATAGGAAGTTCTTTAAATTCTATTAAAAAGCTCTTATATTTAGACCAATTAATATTATTATTTTATTATATTCATTATGCATAAATAAGATCTCTCAATTCTAATAAAAAAAACACCCCAATTTAGATTAATTTAAAACAAGTTTAATGCTTAAAAGTAGCTATAAACCTTGAGGCACTTCACAAAAGATGCATTTAAATATAAATATGCAGTTTTTGGATAGAAATTTGAACATGAACATTGTCTCACGTGTTAAACAGATTAATTTAAATGCAAATCTGGCTATATATAAATTGTATTAAATTAAGTTATAACTAAATGATTTTAAAACTATTTCTGTGACGCCTTTAAACATAATTTGGGGCTAACCCTGAGAAGCAATACCCTTGATAGAGGGTACTTGTGGTCAACTTGGTTGCAATGTAACAACGAGGTGTGTCCCCATCTCATCTCTTGCTGCTCGAGAGCTTGGAGCTGGAAGCTGGGAGCAGGGAGCCAAGTGCCCGGAGAGCCTTGTCCAATTGCCTTCAATTGAGCTCAATTCCGGGGGCTTTGCTTTTGTTCGGAGGCCTCTCTTCTCGCTGCTGATTGCACTTGACGCGATCAGCTGATGACAGACCCACTCAGAGATGTATCTCTCGGATGAATAGTGAATAGTATTTGTGGACAGATTCAATTTTGAATAACGCACGATGATGGAGACTGACCCACTTAGGGGTTTAATAGATTTCCAAATAAAAAAAATAGAAAAACCGGTTCTAACAAGGAAATTAAACAAGACCAAGCCCAAAAAAATAGAGCCAAAGTGTCAATAAATCTGAGCAAACAATATCGGATTTTGTAGATACATATGTATGTGTGGTCGCAGTTTAAATAAATTAACAAAAGTAAAAAAAAAGGTTTAAAAAACAAATATTAATAGAGCTGTTTCAAGGTTTATGTTTTTTTCAGAGTCTTCAGGTTGTTGTCTTGCCTCGAGGCTACAAAAAAACAAAACAGGAAAATAACATAAATAATAAATAAATAAATAATCTATGATAAAAAAGACAAAAAATAAAAACCGTTTTTAGTTGGGTTAATAGACTTTTTTTCGCCTCAAAAAAATCAACTTGAACCCAAAGCTTTTGATTATGAAAATTTATGCCTAACAGTAAACTCAAGAGGCAAAAGGTTAAGCTTGATTTTCCCTCTCTCTCTCTCTAATTAATTCATAAATAAAAATAATATACAAACAACAAGCAAACAAAGGTATTACCTAATTAATAAATCAACTTCCCAACCTCTGCCTTAAAAACGCATAAAGACAAAGGAAAAAATATGGTCTTACATGCATTCACAAAATTCTCTCAACAAGATAATCAAACAGAACGTGCAAAAAAATTATTAACTAAAGCTATGTAAATGCACAATGCTAACAACAATAAAGGCAAACAAAGACAGCTTAAGAAAACGACGATACGTGGCAGTAAAAAATATAAGAAAATAAATAAATAAACAAAACGTAAAGTATTTTAATTGCATTTTTGTGATGTAAGTTGTGCGAGCGAATAAAACAAAAAACTGGTTAGAACTAACTAACCAGAGAATGAAGTAATTATTAAATAATCGTTTATGTAAAAACCTAAAGCAAATTGCTTAAGTTGTGAGGTAATTAAACGGTTTAAAAAACGGAAGGAAATACGGTTTTTCCCTAAAGAGAAGATTGTATCTATAAGTTTTCCTTTAAGAAAATAGAGTAATTAATAGGTTTGTTAGGTTTTTCAATACAAAAGTTCACAAGTTCTAAAAAGAATCTAAGTAATTAATATTTATTTAAGTCCAAGTAAATATTTTTCTCTCCGGCAAATTCAATTTTCTCTTCTACAAATAAATTCCCAAATCAAATCTTGAGTTTAACTTGATTCTCAAGAGTTTTTATTGATTGCTATCAAGGATTTTCCTTGCAACTCTAACTAAGCGTAAACTGCCTTTTCAGCTTGCCAAAAACTTTGAATATTCCTTTTGCTCCCTTGAATTGGGGGAAGGATTGGACATTAATCATACGCCTCATTGGTCAGCAGCGGGATGTAAGCGCACCTGAGCAATTGACGGCACCTTGTTATCCATCCTCCCGCCCCGGGGGTAGGGCAGGGCAGGGGGCAGGTGACCGGGGCCAATCAAGAAAGACACAGGCAATAATGGCACCTCGCCTTCGATTCCAAGCCTCTCAGCGTGGTGCTCTCTCATCCCCCTTTTATAGGGAAAGATGGCAGAGGAGATCCTATGATGGTTGTAAGCCAATTTGCAGGCTCTTGCTGGGAATTGCCAGGCATAACCCCTCAACCTTTGGGCTTTGTAATACCTTTTCATACAGTGATCACTCGAGGGAAAGGTTTTTATGGCTTGCAAGAGGTTTCTATGAGTTTATAGTTGGTCTTGATATTATTAAAAAGCGTTTTAACTAGAAGCTTTAGTTGCTAGAGGGTTTTATTCAAGTTTAAATATTTTTTAAAGTATTTTTTTAGGCAGTGCAAGAGGTTTCTATGAGTTTTTAGTTGGTCTTGATATTATTATAAACCGTTTTAACTAGAAGCTTTAATTGCTAGAGAATCTTATACAAGTTTAAATATTATTTTAAGTAGTTGCAAGAGGTTTCTATGAGTTTATAGTTGGTCTTGATATTATTTAAAAGCATTTTAACTAGAAGCTTTAGTTGCTAGAGGTTCTTAAAACAGTTTAAATATTTTTTAAAGTATTTTTTATGCAATGCAAGAGGTTTCTATGAGTCTTTAGTTGGTCTTAATATTATTATAAACCGTTATAACTAGAAGCTATTTAGTTGCTAGAGGATCTTATACAAGTTTAAATATTATTTTAAGTAGTTGCAAGAGGTTTCTATAAGTCTATAGTTGGTCTTAATATTATTATAAACCGTTTTAACTAGAAGCTATTTAGTTGCTAGAGGATCTTATACAAGTTTAAATATTATTTTAAGGAGTTGCAAGAGCTCTCTTTGAGTTTTTAGATGGTTTTAATATTAGTATAAACTATTTAAAGTATAAGCTTAACCTTCTATAGTTTCCTTTACTAGTTTAAATATTTTTTAAAGTTGTTCTTATATACGAATCCTCACTGTACCTCATCCTTTGGCCACAGCACTTGCTGGTGTGCCAAGCATTTTGACAGCTAACGAAGCAAAGGCGTCCCTAAGCTCCTTTGGGCCAAGGGCCACGCCCAGCTTATTAGCATGGGGGCGTTAGTTACGTGGCACTAGCCCCTGGGGCTTGGGGAGTCAGTGACTACGCCACTGGAAAGAGGGGGAACTCACTCACTCTCACAGGGGGCTCTTACTCAATCGATTGTTAGGGGCAAAATGACAACGCTTTGTGTTTGTATTATGAAATTTCACCGCCTCCTAGCTCTGCCCTTTGTATTGCTTTTATTATTATTATTATTATTGCAACGAGAGACGCTTAGGAAACCCCCCTTGAAAATCCCCTTTGAAAACCCCCTTTTGATTGATAATTAAGCCCTGCCATCAAGTGTTGCATCCTCCATTGTTCGTTTAGAATTACGAGTTGAGTACAACGAGTGCCTCGAATTTCGCGACATGATTAATATCTGTGCATTAATTAGACGCCTTGCAGCAGAGTCGTCGTTGTCGTCGTTTTCCCCCATGACTCATCCCCTGTGTCCAGTGCTGCCAATTTGGATTTTTCCCGTCAAAACTGGCTTTTTTTTAAGGCTAACTGCGGGAAAAATTTGTGAATTGCGGGAATTGTGAAAAGCGGGAATTCTGGCTTTTTTGGAAATTGAATTGGCTTTTTCCCGATTTTTTTTTGTGTTGTTAAAACTTAAGTACAAAATATGAAAAAGTGGCAGCTAAAAAGTTAGCTTTACGAACAAACCAGATAATGTAGCGACGTATCGATTGTTTTAATAGATATACGCTAATTTCATAAGTCGCTTAGTTTTTCCATCTCTATATAAAAAGTGCGCGTAAATTGTTAGCAAGTTCTAAAATGCCGAAGGAGTATAAACAAAAATGCCGCGATGTCTGGCTTAAAAGTGATGAATTTAAGGCATGGATTCGCAGGGATGACACAGACCTGCAAAGGGTTTATTGCAACTATTGCAAGACTACTATTACAGCTAAACTCAGTGATCTGCGAGCTCACGCTGCAATAAAGAAGCATACTAATGCAAGCAAAAGATATTCATTTCTATTTATATTCATTATATTTATTTCAATATACAGAAACGGATTGCGAAGGGTCGGGAAATGCTGCGTCGACTATGAAGTGCCAATCAAATATCTGCAGATGATAGGAACTATTAGGTCTTACGAAAATAAGGAAGACCATGAAGAAATTGATCAAATTATGGAAATCTTTTAAACAAAACTGAACTCATTAAATTTTTATATTTTTTGAAATTTTTT